AAATATTATTATAATAATTTTTCTTAAAGATTCTCAAGTCTTTGGTTAAACAGAAGATGGATTGATATTTAGATGAGTTGATTTTCTGAGATGAAAATACTTATTGGAAAGACTGTTCCCATACCTACTTTATGGCGATCATTAAAATTTTGCGGAATAACAAGAAAAAAGGTTTACTATAATAAGAATTTGATTAATTAACAACAAAAACTAATTTACATACTTTCATGTCATCCGTATCAAACAATTTTCTTCTTTCCTTAGAGCCTATAAAAGGATCCTTGACATAACCCCACTTCTTATATATTCTCAAGACTCTTCCAACAGTAGCTCGAGAAATATATAAGAGACTTCTTATTTTCTTGTTTGAATATCCATTGTGATACAGATATACTATTCTCCAAAGTAGATTATTGCTAAGACTTATTGGCATCTTCCTAAGTAAATAATATTAAAAGAGCATTGTAATTAGTATATACTTACTTTATAATAAGTTAATTGCTCATAGTCAGTTGTAATCACTTATAGTCGCTTTGTAATTATTTGTAATCATTTGTAATTGCTGGTAAAACTTTGTATTCCTTGTCTTGAACTAAGTAAAGGAATAAAGTTATATTAAATAGGCATTTTCTACTCTTCAGAAAGATTTAATAATCGCGGGCATACAGAAGTTTTAACAGTATTTTTGATTAGTTTTTACATATAATCGCTATATTCGCAAAAAAAATTGTAATAAAATTTGTGTGACTCAAGAATTTTGAAAACAGCAATAATAAAAATTATATTAGAAAATAAAAAAAACTTTTTCTTATAAATTTTTTTTCTCCAAAAAATTTTCTTTTATAGTAGTAAGCAAAATTTTAAGGAGGAAAAAAACAACAGATATCCTTGGGAGCCCAACTCCTAAGAGCAAATCTCCAAACACTTCCTATGTTCTCTTGGATATTGTAGTTTCAAACCCAAAGAATCACCTCTTCTTTGTAGTTTATAAGAAAACCAACTCAAGCAATATTCTAATCACTGAATTAGCAAAACATGTATTTATTTCCTTTCTAATTGATATCTCAAATTCTAGATTGTTTTTTAACAAAGTTTAAATATTAGCAATAAACCTTCACAAGTGAACATCGCCTTTATTGGTTTCAAACAAGTAGCAGTTAACCTTAGCTCTTCTTTATATCCCTATACAATAGTATTACTATTCATCAACAATATGAAAAGCAATATCCAAAACAATCTCAATAACTTTTTTTTTTTCAGAAGAAAAATAATTTTGCTTCCAGCATAAAAAAGACCATTGTAAGGAAAGTACTAGATAACAATTTCAACTATATATTCCACCTTTCTTGGAACCAGATTAATATTATAAACAATAGAAACAAATTCATACTTGAAAAAATACAAATGCATCAACACATCAATCACCTAACATATCAGTTCAAGAGGATAAACCAGAAAGTGCTAATCAAAATCCTCTTACTAATCCAGCAGGAAAAAAATTAACATCCCAAATCCCAAAAAAACTCTCAAGTAGCTTACCTCTATCAATTGATTAACAATGCAACATGGTTTCACTAAATTCAAATGATGTGCAATTATGTAAACCCTAAACACAAATTTCACATGTGATCAACAAAGTTATAGGTGACATGATACAAGTTGACGATCATCAATTTGCAGTTACTCTTGAAGCCAGTCAGGACAAATCTGGTAGTACCATTAGACCAACCAGTTCTGTGTCAGATACAGACATCTCAATGAATCCATTGGACCAGGAAATTTCACTGGAAAATATTGATTTATTAATCGAATTTGAAAAACAAGTACAAATCGATTTGAATACTCTTCAAAACCCATTTTTGGAGATAATATTTGCCCTTTTCGTATCACCACTTAGTACTTGCTCAAATGAAGTACCATTAGGTGAGTATATACAAGATATCAACAGCTTATCATTAATCAAAAATGAATCAAGATTGATAGGAGATTTTATCAACTCTTCAGACCCTTCTATAACTTCAAACAGCACATTGAGCTCACTATCCATAAGACCTGAAAATCCAAAAGAACAAAGGATTATTAATTTGTTAATAGATAGTGATCCAAGTTCACAATATCCTATAGATAATGAAGTATCAGGGCCACCAATAAACATATTTGAACCTTTGTTAGTGAACATGACATTATTATCAAGCTAGTCTTTTGTTAATCCAACACTGCTTGGAAGCTTAAGAAGTAGTTGAAGTTTTCAAAAGCATTAAAAATAAGCCAAAAGGATCAGTTGCATAAGAACTGCACTTCACAATATTCACAAAAATATTATTGAAAGACAGAACCTTCTTCAGGTCCTTCACCAAAAATAAAAATCTGAAGGGAAATCATCAAAAAGAATATGAATCTTTTGAAAACAAGTTCTATGAAAATTACAAGAAGCATTATAATATCGGCTACATTAATCAGGCTACCAAGCAAAAAGTTTGCTGGATTCTGAACACATCTTTCTTTGTTGCATGCCTAAAATTTACAGACTTGACCAAGCTTAAATTCTATGAAATTGCTCAACTGTTGAAGTTCAGATACAACTATTTCTTTAAAAACAATAATAAAACTGTCGACTACATAGAATTGTTGGAGCTCTACAAGCAGCTGCTTTATGAATCCCTTTCATCTCTCCCTGAGTCCTATAGTCAAATCTTAACAGAAATAATAGTCAAACTCCCTTGCTCACTGCCAATCAGAGGAAAAGACATCTACTGGTCATCCTTTCAACACTACATACATATTACAAGTTTACTCTCCTTCCAGACTTATATTTCTTCAATACTCTTCCCCTTTCAGAGGATCTCTCTAACCTAAACAATAAGACAGTCTGTCTGTTTCCTATTACAATTAGAAAGGACCTGAATTCCTTGTCAAATAGGATTCGTAAGCTCAGCAAGTTCTATGAAATTCCTTCAAAGCTGCCCAAATCATATTTTGATCTCCCTCCCCTGAAAGAGCCTTTGCCACCATCATATAAGCTCCTACCAGCATATCTAACCATATATTTCCCTTACGATCCAATGATCATAGATACGTGGGAATTAATTAACATCTTGAGAAGTAAGTACAGTCTGAAGACTTTGCCACTAAACTTTTATAAGTTTAAAAGACTGCTTCTCCACTCTCCTAATGTTTTCTTGGATGAAATTGATTTAACAATCCCAGCAAACATGAAAAAAGATGCTGTTATACTCATTAACCACCTCAAAAAAGATTTTAAATTTAATCTTCCACTGGGTCCTCTCTGGGTTAACCCATCTATTTCACAAATTAACAAAGAAAAGTTGCCACTTAAGATTAGTAATATTGATACATTCCTCGAAATTGGAACGCATATGGATTATAGGGATGACCACTTCTTGCCTAAATTAAGGAAGTTGAGTACAAAATAAGAGTTCCATACCTTGCCCAAAAAATGGTTCAAGGCTCCAAAAGCTCCCTACCAACCATAGAAGAGCTTAATAAGTACAATAAAAAAAACCAAATCGATGTCCACTTTCTACTTAGAGATGATAATGAGTTATCCACATTTATAGCACAACTTTATAAGAACTATAATTTTGACAAACTCCCTGATAATTACATTCTAACTGAAGATCTACTGGAGCCTGGTTTTGATCTTACTTTCTTTATTTATTAATATGTCTAAGTTATTTAACTTTATACATTCATTAAACAAAACTTATTATACTACTTCCCTTGAACCTGCTACCTCTCAAATTAAAAACTTGTTCAACATCTTAATACTAAATATATATGGATTAAATGATAGATTCAAACTCATAGCTTTAGCATATAATCTCAAAAATGAAAGGTCAATTTTATATTGTTCTAAAACAAAAATATCAAGAGACTACCCCTTCTGAAAAAGCTTAATAATCAAATTATAATCTCCAGCTCTCCTTTGCAATCATCAAAAAATGGTGCTTGCTTAATAATTGGCAAAGATTTAAGCGATCACATATTTGAAACCTATGCGGAAAATGAGTACTGGTGTGCAGTACATCTCAAATTTAAGCCAAAAATTGACCTAATTGTAACATCCATATACTTACTCCACGATTCTGAGAAAAGAAAAATGGCAACAAATTTCTTAATAAAACATATCAAAAAATTCAAAAACCAGTACATCAGATCATAGCCAGAGACTTCAACTTATACCTGTTAAATACTCTGGCAATTAATACTTCTATCACAAGTCTTAAAAGAAAAATATATAACTACATGTATGATTGGATCAATATTATCAAAGTACTCAATAAAGAAAAAGAATTTATATATACAATATAATCAAGCATCTTAAGAATTGATCAAATCTGATGTATCAGCCACTTGGGAACTAAAGTTCTAAATGCTAGAACTTTCACTTCCTTATCAATCCATACAGATTACAAGCAGATTCAAGTTATTTTCGACTGATTTGAATATAAACTAGCATTTCCTAGATGTCAAACTAAGTTATTTGACTGGAAGCAAGCATTAGAGCAATAAAGAAATAGTTTTATAAAAGAAGTTGATCTTAAAGTGATTGCAATTGAGATCCATTCTTGGACCATTTTCAATAACATTCTAATCTGCGCCACAAGAAACAATCTTTCTTTGGTCAAACTAATAATTCTGAAAGCTAAGGAGCTTGGTGGTAGTCAATATTTTAGAATGATCAAACAAATTAAAAAAATTATAGGAAAAATCAAAAAACTTCTAGCAAAGTCAAATTCAGAAATTAAACTTTCAAAGAATATCACCTCTATTCATTATAAAACTTTTGAAAATTTTCCAGCTATTATCAAGTCACTCAACCACATAAGAAAAATACTAATCAAGGAAAGACTCTACTGTATCAAAGAGCAACAGATAGAACAAATCTGCTCAGCCTTCACAAACAATTTTATCAAGTTTTGGAAAAAACCAAAGAGTTTCATCAAAAAAACCTTGGATGATATAAAGTCCTTCCTTAATCTCAACACAATTTAGGACAGCAATGATAATCTGACTAACAATTCTAATGAAATCAAAGCAATTATAAATAATCATTTTAAAAAAATCCTTGCAAACAACAATTTTGATTCCACAAATGCCCAGTGGAAAGAAGTGTACTTTCCAATTGATTCAATTTCAGATGATATATATTGTTAAGCTCAATGGCAAGTCTGTCGCTAATCCGGACCAAGACTCGTGCAATGTTGGATCAGTGGGTCTATATTACTAGCGATATCAAAGGTACATATGGTGATAATTATCCTAATCTTCCCTTTCGTTTAGCTAGTCTTCTTCTCTAATCCTTTCCCTATTGAATTACAAGGTTCTGGATTCTTCTTGAGGTAATTAAAGACAAATAAGGTAAGTTTATTAATTATTGTTGCACAGGTACAAACACTTGGCTTTTCAGTAAATAGTATTTTATTAATTTGTTCTCTCTCTCTTTTTACATTTGGATATCATGGCTATTTATATAACTGCAATACATTTCTAAATCTATCATCGCGTTATACAGAATTGCTAAACTTTGACAAGCTTCACACCCATCAATAATACATGATTGATGCATGATCGATATCCCATATGGTACTGCACCGGGCCCCACATGTCATGTCATGCCTTCTATTATAATTTTTATGCTAACAATATCAAGAAACTCAGAAACAAATCAATTTAGAGGAGCTTCTCAACATACTGTATTTAGCAAAGTTCCAGCAAATAAAATACCTGGCGTATTAGGCATTACTTACGAAATGGTCAGTGCTCTTGGAAACCATCCTAAAGAAATATTTTTGCAATTATACAACAAGGTCCTGGACAGTGAACAAATATCACAAAGGTAGAAAAGCTTAACAATAGTTCTTCTATCCAAAAAAATAATTTGGTCCCGCAAAATTGTGAACACCCGTCCAATCTTACTAATAGACTTGATAAGAAAAATATTTACAAAAATTATTAACACCAGATTATCAATCATCCTCACAAAAAACAATATCCTATCTAAAGTCAACTTCGTAGGCTTAGTAGAGCAAAGCACAATAGAGCTTTTGTTAATAACAGCATCTACAGTACATTAAATACAGTTATTAATCTCAACAGTAAATTATGGATCGTCTTATTTGATATTATAAAGGCATTTGATTCAATAAATCTTGATAGCCTCAAAGCAGCTCTCCAAAGAATAAAAATTCTACAAAAATTATTTAACATATTCTATAACTTGCTAAATAATTGAGAACTTACCATTGCAACAAACTTTGGAAAAACTAATGGCTTTACAGTATCAAAAGAGTTGGATCAAGAGGAAGCTCTCTCTCCACTCCTTTGGACAATATTTTATAATCTGATGGTTTCAACTATCTTTAAACATCAAGGACACCCATTAATTCCTTATAACATTCTTGCATATATGGATGATGTATTGTTAATAACAAGCTTCTTACCCAAGCTGCAAGAAACTACTGATATTTTTTGTTCATTTTTTAAATGTAACTCAGACAAAACTATCTTAATTACTACCTTAGGAGATTCCTATCAAAAAAGGAAAACTCCACTCAAGGTTCTTAACTCAGCAATTAATCCTCTTTTGCAAAAAACACTAATGCATTATCTTGGAAACTATTTTTCAGGAAATGTAACAGATAGCCCATTTAAATATATTTTAATTAAAGAATTAAGTCAAATAATCATGGCCTATAATAGACAAGCTTGGAATGAACCAATAACTAAAGCTAACAACCTAATCTTTAAAGTTGAAAAGACCATTTCAGATAAGATTACATATTCCCAAGCTGGCCTCAAGTTTTTCAACTTAACAGACAAGTAAGAACTTATATTATTAAAGCTTTTTATCGCCAAGCTATGCAACTTCAAAACAAAAACTGCTCTAAGCATAGAAATTAAATCTATGCAAGCAAACCATACAATATGGTTCTTTCTATATATGTGGTAGAAATTGATAGATTCTTGATGCAATTGACGCAATTATTCGATGCAATTAATTGAGTCACTATTAAAACATATAAAATAATTGAGTCAGACACAATTATTTTTGAGGATTTTGGTAATTGAGTCAACAGCAAAATAATTTATACCACATATATAGTTCTGTTCAATATGTTGTTTTGAAAAGTTCCCAGATAATTGAATTACCCAAGCAGTACTTATTTGTAAAAAATATCAAGTCCCGGTTTGTCCACCAAGCTGCGAATTTACTGATTCCAAAGGTGAACAATCCTAGGGACTTTTTTTCTCTTTCAAAGGTAAAGAACTCACAAAGCAAGCACGTGACCTCAGTCGGAAAAACATCAAATTCCTCAGTAACCTACTAGTCTATCACTCAAATTGCAAGCTTACCTGGCATAAGTTTAATATACACTTGGACCCTATTTCACGAAATCCTATTTCATCTTGGTTTTCTCAAATAATCATTTCAACACACCTTCAAGAATTTTCTCTGTGTATACCAAACATCAAAGCCAAATTCTGGGCTACAATCCATAATAACCAAATAATCTATATCAGAACCAGAAGCAATAGAGATACTAGCTAATCATTTGTTAAAGGGTCCCACTATTGTATCAATACAAGCAAAGCTTTTTTAAAATGTCAATGCCATGATAAGAAAGAAAAAATCTTGACACTTGTGGATCAAGCAATGTCTCTGTAGATATATCGAAGAGGTAATCAAGATTATTTGGCCAACTCTCTTGAGGAGATCCAAGTACAGTTACAATTCAGCACCTCAATAAATCTCACAGTTATTATTAACATCAACACAACAGATTTAAACAATAATCTATTACAACTTAATATAAATGTAATCAATGATTTGAAACAAATACTTAATATTACTTATCTATTTTTGACAGTCAGCCTGGAAGTAAAAAATAGCTATATATTGATTAAAGTCAATGATATACTGTTGACCATATATTCTGAAAACAAGCAATCTATCAGCATACTCTTGACTCTAATAGGAATATTAGCAACCAGTAAGAGTTATACATATATTGCAGCTAATATATTATCAACAATTAAGCTAATTATATCAAGTTATTCTAATTGTAAAGTTAAAACTTTCTATAGTTATCTAATAGACTGTATCAACACTTTATTTAGTACTAAACAACTTAACTTACAACTTTACAAATATGATAAGAGTTTTAATTTGGAAGAAAGTGACACAATAATATGTATTGTAAGGATTTTTTGAAGTTCTCTCTAATACTTAAGTTTTTTTAAGGCTGAGGCATAATAATTTAGTTCGAGTATCCTTCTTTTTCTACAAAAATAAACTCAATTCCATTTATTAGCATATGCATTCGTTTACTCAAACTATACCAAAGTTCCTGTTGTAGCAATGAGTATTCACATTATTAACTACTTTGAAACTCTTCCAAATTTTTTTATGGTTACAGTTTCACCTTCAAATATCAAACATTTGCATAGTTGGTTGAACAAATAGTTGTTAAACAGTTAGATGTTAATTTATTTGTTTAGCAATTATTGTTAAGTTTATTTAGACTTTTTCTCTTGCTTTATATACATGCTAGTTTCAAAAAATTATATCAGATATATCAAATATATCAACTATTGCTAATATATCTAATTTCTTAACTATCTTAACTATCTGAAATAAAATAAAGAAATCAAAGAAAAGAAATAAATTACAGATATCTCATTTCTCTCAGATTTGTTATTTTAAGATCATTATTGTATACACTCATGTAACTATGCAATTTCCCTTTCACAAGATTTACAAAAAAACATGAATATTTTTGTCAATTTTCTGGAAATTAATGAAATCAAATGCAATATTGAAAAAACCAAAATAATATATATTTACATAAATAAAAATTCAAAGAAAAATCTAACATTTAAATTGTTGAAAACAAACTTAACCATTCTTAATTATAAACAACTCCTTAGATACCTGTGTTGTTATTTCTTCAATACAAGCAACAATCAGTTAGCTTATTTCAAAATCCTCAGAAATCTCTAAATTCCTTACCCAAAACAAAAAATGAAATGGTTCAATAATCAAACAAGTTGTTTAATAAATTATTTCAACAAAAATGAAATATACTCTTAACATATTATTTTTAAACAAAACCAACTTCTTTATAATACAAAAGTATTTAAACAAAATCTGCAAAAACAAATACCATCTAGAAAAAATCACTTCAGATTCAATAGTTTTTTCTCTTCTAGATTTAAATGTAACTAATCTTAAAAATAGACAAGAAATTATTCATATCAAATTACTTCTGATAAGACTGAACAATCCTTGTATCAGAAAGATAATATTAATGAGGCAATTTCAATACAATAGTCCTTTGCAATTTGGAAATGCCCTCTTTATCAACCTAAATTTTTCAAATTAAAAAACAATTGAATACTTGAAGCTATAATCATAACTTAAAAATATCAAATAAATTCTTGTTCCTTACACTATCTATTGAAGTTCTATAATAATAACTTATCCATAGGCTTACACTTCTAGGGCTTTGAAAAGTATCGAACCAGTACCAAAGTGGTATCAAAATGATACCAATCTATAGTAAATTTAATATATGAGTTATAACCCACTTATATGAATTTATAGTAAATTTAAGTATCAAACTGATATTAAACAAATATCGAAGTAGTACCATTAGGAGCCCTATACACTTCCATTTAAAAACAAGAATGTTCTAAAAGTTATCCAATTAGGAATTAAAATCCTGGAAAATATTCTAATAAAAGATTAATCCATACAACTTGAATAGTATTAACTAATTACCAGAGGAAAATTAATCACTAATAGAATAAACCTTAGAAAAACTCTCAAATAGTATTTTGAAATTAGTTTTCCAGCCAATCAAAGAAATCTTATTTGCAATTCCATATTTCAAAAATTGGATTTTTGCCTTTATTGACAATCTTTCTTTCAAAATTATCAAAAAATTAACTATCAATCTAATATATTCACTACTGAAATACTATTCTACAGAAACAATAATATACTATCTGAAACAAATATAAAACTTTCAATTCTTCTTCAAACTAAAATACTATTGATCTGGATTAAATATAAAGATTAACTAACTATTCTCAATTCCATAAATGAAATAATCAATATCCTAACTAATACACCTTCAGCTAAACTCTCAAATTATAATTCTATTTATCTCAACCTATTCTTCATATATATCAGAATAGAAAATTGCAATCATATTCCAAACAATTAATATAACAGAAACCCATACTCAATTCTTCAAACCTATAAAAAACTGTTTCCTAGCTCTTTTCTTAACAATAAAATATATATGCCTTAATACCCATCCTACTTATCTACTACTATTTCAATACACAAAATCCCCAATTTCTCAATCTTCTTATATATTAATAGAAAATCAAATTGATACACAGTCAATACAAATTTGATATTACACAACTTATTAGTCAAAAAAATTTAAACATTATCTTCAATATCCAAGAAATAGCAATTGTATTTACTTAAACTTTGAAATTCTGAATTGAAAACTATTAATCTTCTTAACTTCTCCCCTTATTACTGATACTTCTTTCTTTAACCCTATTGTATAGTTAAAGATAATTACAAAATCAAAAGGAAACTCCAAACCAGATTGTTAAAATCATGGTTAAATAGATCTTTATGGGACCTAAACTTAATCCTTATTAAGCAATATAAACAAATTACAATGTTTGAAAAATACAAGTTCTTCATTCTACTTTTCTTTAAGATAAATACTTTTTGCTATAACTTATCAACCAGAGTAGAACTAAATAGTAGATATCCTCAACTCTATCTTAATAACCTTTGTCTTTAATATAACTCTATATCTAAGCACTTTGATTATATCTTTTTTTGCCTTAAAACCATAGCATTCTTAATTACAAAAGCAAAAAAATAACAATTTTGATCAATAATCTCATCAATAAAAGCAATAAAATTCAATTGAAAACAAAAACAAAAAACATTATTAAAAATATTACAATTATAGAATCTCTTTTATATGAATAGGCAGCTGGTATTTCATTTCTCCAATAGATTTATTCAATAAATACAAAATGACAATAGTTAAAAAAGTATTAGAAATTATCTTTAAACATATATAAATTCCAAGATCAATAATAGCTAATACTTTCACTTCAACAAAAATACAATAGAAAAAATCCTTTATTGCAACTTAACAACAATCCACTCAAAAAAAAATCCTTCTATTTACAAACCTACTTTTAAACTATATCTCTAAATCTAATTTTATAAACATTGTAGATTTAACAATAAATATATACATCAATAAAATTTTTTGACTCAACAATATCTTATCAATAATATCCAATACTGTTTATAGATAAAGCAAGTATTGTTTATCTTTACTTCTCCAGTAAGTCTTTTTGAATATTGAAGGATTTAGTAAGTTACTATATTTAAGCAGATATTTGTAATCTAATATTATTTTAGTTACTGATACTTGATGTAACCTTGATTTTATGATCGTAAAATTGTATAAATCAATATATAATTAATAAAAATCTTGCATCTCTTGCTTTGTTCACAGTTAAAAAATAAAATAAAAAAATAAAATAAAAATATATATTGTTAGTATAAAAATTATAGTAGGGGGTATGACATGACATGTGGGGCCCAGCGCGGTGCCATATGGGGCATCAGTCATGCATCAATCATGCATGATTGATGGGCGCAGAGTTTATAGAAGTTTGGTAATTTTGCATTACGCGACGATAGA